GATGATTCCACGGTCTATCGCGAGCTGGTGGATTGTTTAGTTTATTTGACTGTCACTCGCCCTGATCTTGCTTCTACTGTTCATGTGGTTAGTTAGTTCATTTCTGCTCCTCACTCTACCCATTGGGCTACTTTGGTTCACATTCTTCGCTATCTCCAGGGTACCATCTTTCAGGGCTTGCTGTTGTTGTCAACTTCCTCTTTAGACTTAGTGGCCTATGCTGATTCTGATTGGGTTGGTGATGCTACTGATTGCAAGTCCACCTCTGGTTTCTATATGTTTCTTGGCGATTCCTTGATCTCTTGGAAAAGCAAGAAACAAACTGTTGTTGCTCGCTCTACTGCCGAAGTTGAGTACCGTGCTATGGCTCATGCTACTGCTGAGCTTGTTTGGCTTCATTGTCTTCTCTCTGATTTGGGTGTCCCTTAGTCTTCTCTAACCTCCCTCTATTGTGACAACAACAATGTTATTCAGATTGCCCACAATACTGTCTTCCATGAACGGACGAAACACATTGAGATTGATTTTCACTTTGTACGACAGCGTCTGTAGTATGGCTCTATCTCGCTTCCTTTTGTCTCCTCGGCTTTGCAACTTGCTGACTTCTTCACCAAGACTTACACTACCACTTGGTGTCAGTTTCTTCTTAGCAAACTCTCAGTGTTTTCTGTTAAAACGCCTTGAGTTTGTACGGGGGTGTGAGAATATATATTGTATATATGGTATATTAGGAATTAGGTTATTTTAGGCAATTCCCTTTTCTTTGTATTTCCTTTTTCTGTTATAGATTAGGGCTATATAACTGATGCACTCTTTGCAAACGTACATAATTGAATATATAGAGTTATTTGGAATTCTTACAGTGTAGGGTCCGTAGTGTGCTGAGGGGAAAAAAGGGACCTGAAGTGGCTACTTCTATTATTTGTCCGACAGTTTTTGTTTGCACTGTCATAACTTGTAATAGCTTTTCATTTACATATGTTATAAACAATTTTTCAAGAGATGGAAGGAACATCATAGATACAAGGCTACAATAACCATGAATATACAAACTAGTAAGGCGAGGAAAAGATAATGAAGATGATTGTTGTGGAGCTGGTGCTATTTCCCCATGATCATTAGCCATAATTACTCAACCATTCCTTCAGAAGAGGCAAATCAAAGAGCAACAGTTTTTTGATAGCTAGAAACAAAGATCCTCCGCTTGCAGCACTCATCACATTGCTCCTTGAAGAAGGAGCACCAACAGCACCAGTAAAAGAAGAATATTGAATGTTGTTGTTGTTTATGTACACAAGAGCACTAAGAGATTTGAGTTTGAGAATCTCTAGAAAAGGGAGATCACCAAACCATAGAAGAAGTTGGTATCTTCTACAATTTTGTATGGTGATTCAAACAAAGTTTGGGAGCCACGAAACCATTTTCATAATCATCCAACTCTAAAACATGATCCCTCCATATTCTTTTACATTTAACTCTTTTAGATTTGGGTGCAGCTAGAGGTCTTCCAACACTTTGCCATCCGCATCAGCATAATCAACACCATCATCTTCTCCTGTCCATTAAAATGTCAGTTTCTGAATGAACTTTTTTTGCTTCAAGTTTGCTCCCTTCAGTTCCTTCAATCTTGATGTCACATTTCTCGCATTTTCAAGCTGTTTAATTTAGAACTCCCCTCTTAGGTGGTTTAAGCTATTCAACTCACCAATTCCACCAATAGCTTTAGAGATGGAGCTATTCTTTCCCACAATGAAAATTAGTAAGCTCTGGAGATGTGTCAATTCCCCCAATCCAAATGGCATGCAACTTAGGTCATTACATCCCTCAATTTCAAGATGTCTAAGGCTCACCTACTTTCTAAAATTAACATGTAGTTTTCTTAACTCATAACAATTGGAGAGTTTAAGTGTCTGCAAGTTCTGCAGCTTGCATATAGATTTTGGAAGTGTAGCCAATTCCTAGAGAGATCTAGATATCTTAGATTCTTAAGTTTGCCTACAAAACTGGGAACATTCTCAATTCCTGAATAATGCAAGTCCAACGTACGCAAGCACGTAAAACTTGAAATTAGTGCATCTTGAGTTGCTCTCTTTCCTGGACCTTGTTTACCAGGCAAAAAGAATGTGCGAATCTTCCTTGCATTGAGCATGTATGCTGGAACTTCCCACGATGATGACGAACATGAACTGGAATCAAATGCCACATGATATGTTCTTTCAGACATATTTTCTGCGTTAGTATTCACAAGAAAATACTCTATCCCTGCCACTAATTATGCAAGATCATGGATGAGACCATGCATTTTGAGACTTATATACCCATCTTCATCTTCATATACATTTTAAAAAAAGGATCTGAACAACAAATCATTGAAATATTTATCAGCAATGTCCTCTAAGTCATGGTCTTTGCCCAACGAGTGAATAAACCCTTGAGCCATCCACAATTTAATCAGTGTACCCTTCTCAATGTGGCTGCTTTTAGGAAAAAGGGAGCAATAGGCAAAACATGGCTTTAAATAGGAAGGCAAGTGGTCATAACTAACATTCAATGTTGGTAACATATGGGTTTCATGTTGAGCTATTTCCCATAGCTTGTCTTTCACAATCAACCACTCAATTTCTGTGTCTTTTAGGTACAAGAGGCTTCCAACTGTCCTTATGGCTAGAGGCACTCCTCCAGAGTTTGTCAAGATTTTCTTTCCTATTGCTACTAGGCTCGGGTTTCCTCCAATTGCCTTCTTCTAAAGGCCAATTGCTTAAACAATGACCAAGAATCATCTTCTAACAAACCTTTCAAGTGGTATGGAGATGTGGTACCTATTACCCTGGCAACTATTTCACTTATTGTTGTAACTACAATCTTGCTCCCTTTTTCACCACTAGTTAAAAAATCTTCTAATTCAATCCATTTCTCACGATTTTCATTCCATACATCGTCTAAGACAAGTATGTATCTATTTCCATCCAAACATCTTCGAAGTCACTTTGCAATTCATCTATCTCTAGGTTTCCACATTCAACATTGGCAGACTTTAGTATTGCCTCCACAAACACTTTCAAATTGAACACATTGGAAACACATACCCACTTTTTAACTCCAAAAGGGAACCAACCATCTCATTCTTGTACACCAATTGAGCAAGTGTGGTTTTATCTAGGCCCCCAATTCCAACTATGGCGATGATGGATAAATCCCTTGAGCTCCTCCCTCCATCACCATTTCTAGAATTGTCTTCTTATCCTCCTCTCTCCCAATAATCCTGGAATCACAGACAAAAGATTGAGCCTGCTCCCTCCTTCCATACTCGTAGGATTGTTTTTCAACGCGCTCCGTGAAATGGAACTTGGTCCTGCCTGATGCAATCTCATCTAACATATTTCTAATTGCTTTAATTTTGTGACTATTTTAAAACTAGAAGCAACCTTGTTTTTAGAAGGAGATAAGAAGTCACTTACTTCTTTGACAATGCACTTCTCTTTCTTCCTCAGTTTCCTCCTCACGGTTTCATTTGCAAAATCATAAAACATATTTTCAACATCACAAAATACATGTTTAAGTTTTCCAAGCTAGTCTTTAACTTTATTGTTATTCTCTTGCTGCTCCTCTACATCTAGAAGCACAGACTTGATTAACAACATGGCTTCAAGCTTTTTGAGATCCTTCTTCACATTCCAAGCTGATGCAATCTCTTGAAAGGCTATGGATCCCAAGTCTCATAAGAATCTTGCTTCAGTGCCATAGAGAATCGCTTCTGCCATCACTTCTCTTCTTGATTGATTCAATGTTGCTTAGTTGTTTTTGGTTGGTAACAAGTTACTTGCATAAGAAAGGTTCTATATGGCTATGAAGAGAGTGGAATGGAAATGGTCCATGCCTCAAAAGTCAACACCTTTCTTCTTTATAAATTTAAGAATCTCCTAATTTTAATACAAATTTTTGTTCTTCAATGGAAGCAAAGTTGACTTGTGGGTTTTATTCACTAGGATGTAATATTTTTGTTTATAGTAGTTTTTATTTATTTATTTATTTTTGCCAAATACCTGGTGAAGGGGTGAACATCTCTTTGGGCACTGCCTGGTTACCTCCATTTCCACTTGTCAGCTTTCTGATGGCATCTCAATGGCATTTGCTGCAATCAGGCTCATCAGAATGTTTTCATTCAATATTAATCAATCTTATTCAAATTTCATCAAGAATACTTTTGACACACACTTCCCTTCTTTTTTTCACATAAAAATTATAAATATAACTCTCAAAATGTGATACACAAAGTGCTTTGAAAGGGACATAGTAAAATGGTGATCTCATCTCATCTCATCTAGCAAATTAAAGATAATGAAGAGAACTACTCTGAATGAACAATATGGAAATTGGAATAGGCCTTTTCCATTGACTTTTAAGTTGCTTAATGCTCTATTTATTTTGGTGAAAAATAATACAAAATAATTTTTCAAAAAAAAAATTGTTTTCATACGTTTGTTTACGTCATTGAAACTAATGCACTAATTAATGGTGGAAATGATGGTAGTAGCAATAGCAACAACGATAGAGAACTTCAACATATATAAGTTTTAGAGACTAACTTTTTCTCTCTAAAATTTAAAAATTGTTGCAAAAACACTATCAGACCAATTTCAGTCATCATGTAAGTCGATACAAAAAGTATGTCCCAAAAAATTAAAGAAAATTAACTTTAGCGACAAAAGTTTAAAAATGTTGATAATAAGGGAGAACACAGTTTCATGCCAAAAGATTTACATTTTGAGACTAAATTTTTTATCCAAAGGGATAGTAATTAATTACTAAATGTCTAATTTCGTCACTAAAAAATACGACAATTATAGTTTTGGTAATTAAAATATTTTATCCCTAAAATGTGATTTCGTCCTAAATTTTTATATCTAAAACTTTAATTTGTTGTAGGTGTGGCAGCGGTGGCAGTAACAGGGGCGGCGGTAGTGGCAAAAACGATAGTCCTACTCCAAGAATAAAAAAGATCAAGCAGTTACAGAATACAAATTGATAAGAGTTACTAGTCTACTAAAGATGATGAAAGAAAAGAGGCAAGGAAGTGTGCATACTTGGCTTTGAATCTTTCCACATGCTGCAACAAAGTGTTTAGGACCAGCAAGATATCCAAGTCTCCAACCAGTCATTGCAAAGGCCTATAAATATCAACATTTTCTAAGGTTCATGACTTGATATGTATGACCATATCAAAATTATGTGCAAGGAAAGCACTTCAGTACAAATAAATAAATAAATAAATAAAAAATAAAAAAACTTGAAAGGAATTAAGCTGAAGCACCTTAGAAAACCCGTTGACAGTCAGTGTCCTCTCCCACATCCCTGGCAAAGACGCAAAGCTTGTGTGCGTTGCTGGTGCATAAATAATGTGTTCATATATTTCATCAGACAGCACCTGAATAGAACAACCAAAGGCAATCCAAAACTTGATGTTAGGTAACTTGAATATGCTCCAAATAAGGATACCAAAAGTTGCATGATAAGTGATATTTTACCAGAAGCCGGGGATGCCTTGCCACAATCTGAGCGATCTCTTCAAGCAACTTCCTTGGGTAAACAGATCCTGTTGGGTTAGATGGGGAACAAAGAATCAACAGTCTCGACTTCTCACTGAGTTTGGATTCAAGATGCTTTGGATCTAAGAGAAAATTTTCGGAGATGTGGGTAGGAAGAATCACAGGGGTCGCATCAGCCAACCTTGCCATTTCTGGGTAACTCACCCAAAATGGAGCTGGAATTATAACCTGAAGAATAAATGCTATCCTGTAAGTGTCTATCAACTGCAAAGGTAGAGCATTAAATATAAACATTTAAAATGTCAGCAGCCTCATCCAAGTAACCAACAAAGATTACTTCCATTGTGCCACATTTCCATACTTCATAACACACACATTTGAAATGGAGGATAAAATATCCCAAAAAACATGCCTATTAATAACTAATAAGGTGTAGTTTACTTTTTTTTTCTTCCAGCTGAATGGTTGTGCCAAGGAGGTAAATTAGTGAACAGTTTTATCCACAACATAACATCTCTGAACTAAAACTCTTCAATGTAATTGGCTGTGTGTGTAGCCTTCCTGACTGCAATGTATATGCAGAAATACCATTCCATTTATTCTGTCATAATTCCTCGGTCAGTTATTATCTATCTAACATCCACAAGACTCCTTATATTCTTTTTGTAATTACTGTGGTCCTGAGAACCACATAAAGGTCAAATCTAAAAGATTTGAAGCATGAAGAAACCACGTTAGGCAATGAGAGACTGCAGGCTCTTTTTTGTACTGATCAAGATTTGCTTGGGATGATACTTTCATACAACACCAATGGTCTCACTGAATGTTATTTTAGAAGGAAACAAGAAAGCCAAAGGGGGTTTGGGCAAATATCAACATCTTATTTCATTGTAGACACATGATCAACACCTCAAATGATTCGCACCAACCATAATAAGTTTATTGTCTTGGTTGCAGTTCAGCAAGAACTCAATTTCCTTCCCAGGACTCCCAGAAGTTAAAATTTGATGTCATTACGGCTGAAATGATACAGCTGACTGAGAAGTCATTGTTTGAAATCTTAACATGATTCATTTGTGGTGAGAGGTGAATACAGAGAAAAAAGGTCTTCATTGCACAGCAGCCAATTGGGTGCACTAGATTTCATCTATTCATTTCAGCACAAGGAAATCAAAAAGAAGATTCATAGAATTTATAGATCTAGTGATGAGTGTAAAAGTGTGGACTAAACCTCATCTCCAGGAGAACAAACAGCTAGCACTGCTTGAAGGATGCTCTGCTTTGCTCCATTGCTCACCAAAATCTGATCAGGTTTAAACCAAAAGGGGGCAAGGAGGCAAAATACACAAAATACAACAATTGATTACCCTTAGAAGACTCTGTTTTATGCTCAGTAAGACCTGGTTTTAAGGTGCCATACAGATCTCTTCCCTCTCCTCCATCATGCGACAGAAATGAATCCATATTATCATCCAGAGAACCGACATCTCCAAAATGTTCTATGTCTTCCTGCACTAATAATCAATGTTGAGCTTCATGTTACACAGAAACTTCATCCATGAGACAGATTCATTCAATACAGACTTCATGTCAATGTCAATGCTAACAGATCAATCAACTAGAAAATCCAATCAGCATGATCAACGAACTAATTTAATATCACATATAAATCAAGCAAATTCAACACTAGGACTTTTTATCTTCCAAATTCAAATTTACCAGTTCTTGCCTCAACAAATTCAAAATTGCCGATAATAAATGAAATCTTGATTTCAAGTTAAAAACAATAATGTACTACTCACTATAATGTATTGAAGAAGAAATTGAGAGATATACACTAATAGATATGGAAAATGCAAGAAAATAGGGCAAGAATAAGATGAGTTGAACCAGTACATACCTGTACGAGGATGAGACGAATTAGTCGAACCAGAGCTTCCTCGTATGATATGTATGTGTAGCTAGAGATAGATAGATAGATAGAGAGAGAGGGATTGGGGGCGAGATTGAGAGAGAGATTCATACCGCTGGAGATCTTCAGACGACGATGACGAGCGAGGGAGTAGAGCTATACAGGTCTGTTGAACGCGTGAGAGAGAGAGAGAAAGAGAATGATCCGCCATAGATCTTTAGAGCTATTTGTCAATTCTCTCTCTAGAATCATCTAGAACACAAGCTATCAGAGATATATACACAAATATATGCATGTATATAAAGAGAGAGAAAGAGACCTGGAAGAGGTTGAGGAGGGCAGGGGCGAAGGCGAGGCAGCCGAAGGAGAGAGAAACGTTACTGGCGACCTGAGAACTGAGAGCTTCGACGATTGATTTAAGACATAGAGATAGAGAGAGAGAGAGAGGGGAACGATATCAATGTTTGTGAAATAGGGCTAGGGCAATTATAAGGAAAAAAAGGAAGAAAAAATAAATATAAGGAATAAATAGATTATTTGCGACTGATAATTAGGGGGTCGCAAATTGTATGGTAGCAAAAGATCATTTTTCTAGTAGTGACAGTACCTTCTAATTAGCATTGCCAACATAATAATATGTGAGGGAGGTGAATTCTACTCTTTTTTTTGTTACATCGGAAGGGAGGTGAATTCCACTCTGTCAATTAATAGGGAGAGATAGAGTGAACGAATTAGTTCGGTTGGTGCGGAGTCCAATGAAGGGGATAGCTCCGCCAAGATTTGGAGTGGCGGTCGTGTATGGGGCACAGTAATAATTACTATGTAGTTAAATAGGTTTATTTCGGGATTTATTTTAGATGATTTGAAGTGTTTACATTTTAAAATACATTGAGTAGAATATACTTGTAAAAAATCAAGTTAATCGGATATCGTTAACATTTTCATCCACTCATATTTATATATATAAAAATAAATGACAATTGTGATTTAGAGTATTAAAATGAATACAAATATGAATAGATAAAAAGATTAACAATATCTGATTAATTTAATTTTTTTTTAAATATATTTTATTCAATATATTTTAAAATATAAGTAATTCAAATGAATCCCAAAATAGATTGATTTAACTGCACAGCAGCCACAAAAGTCCACTCCATAGATAAAAGAGAATGTCAAGGGTGTGCCTTCACATTTCATTGTTTGTCAAGGTTTGCCTTCACATTTCATTGTTTGCGAATGAAAATAGCCATCAATCACTCTCTCTCTCTCTCTCTCTGTTAAAGTCATACTCAAACTAGCCACACTTGAGGGGAAGGCCCTCCTACATTGAATATGCATGTCCGTACTTAAAGATTTGGCGTGAATAAAATAAGTGAGTAAAAATGAGAAGAATAAAAAATAAATAAAGAAATAGGAAGAAAAATAAAAAAGGAAAAAATAAAAAATAAAAAGGAAAGAAAAAGGAAGATGGGCAGGGGAGAGAGAGAGACAGAGAGAGAGATTGCATGAGTGAACAAAAAAAGAAAAAAAAAATGTGAGTAAGTGAAAATTAAAGAAATCTTGATCCTTAATGAATTCAGAAATTAATCTCAACATTTGAAACAAAATGTATCTCTAAGACATTTCAACACATTTTTAAAAACTCTCATACTTTATTATATAGATATTTATCTCTATTTGGGTGTAGTTTTGGGGAGGGACATATAATGAAAGTGACATTAGCTCACTTTCAAAATTACTTCCATGAGAAGGTTGTATATATATATTGATTTTTAACTAGTATGCCATTTCAATTTGAATTACTGTTTTGGGCGATGGAAATTTCTATGACAGTGCATAGAAAAAAGTATCACAATTTTTTCTTTTTGCTATATTTGATTGGAAGATTTAGAAAATGAAAGGGAAAATGTGTATGAAATTAGATAAAATATATGCATATTTTATTCAAATTTCACTTATCTTTTCTTTTTTTCTTTCTAAATTCTCTAACCAAACATAACATTCAAGTCATTAGAATGTCACTGGCCTTTTTAGAAGGAATTAATTTTTTTTTTTTTTTTTTTTCTGAGGTTCTATACAAAACTAGTGGGTTTGGGTATTATACTAAAAAATTGGTTACTATGATTATATTGTGTGGTAAGTAAGTAATATCGCTTTTTTTCTTTCTTTTAATGAACGGAAGGTACTAAATTGTTAGGTTGACATATATGGAGAGTTGAATTTACAACCCCAAATCATAAGCAAGTCTAGTTTCAACACTGTGAGGTAAGTAAAACCTACTTCATTTTATTATATATATATTTTTTTTTTGGAAAAAACATGTTTTTCTACCACTTTTTTTTCATTGCCAAGCAATTTTTATTTAACATAAATTTTACTGATCACTAGTGCAATTTAACAAATGCAATAAAGCTCCATAGTATGGTATAATTAATTATACTTTTCACCTTTGTAGTTTGACCCAAATTTCATTTTAATTTCTATTGTTTCAATTTAAACAATTTGTTCCCTGCACTTTAATTCCATTTCAATTTGATCATTCTATCTAATTTTTTAAAAAAATTTTATATGTACATCTAGGGGTGTAAATTTAGTCCGGCCCGGCCCATTTAGGCCCAAGTTTAGGCCGACCCATATCGGGTTACGCGAACTCCTACCAAAATTCAGGTCAAGCCAAACCAACCCATGGTCTAGAAAATTAAGCTCAGGCCCAAAGGGTATTCCGGCCTTGGGTGGGCCGGCGAGTCTAGGCCTGGGCTCAAGCTTGGGCTAGGCCCGGGCAGATCTAAACATTTTTTTTAATTTTTTTTATCTTTTTCACTAAAATTTTATTCTTTTCCACCAAAAAAGACTCTGGGTCTCAGGTAGGGTGAGCTTTGAGTAAGTCTGAGCGGGCTGATAGGCCGAGCCGGGTTTCAAAATGATAGCCTAGACCTAAGGTCTCGAGCTGGGCTCAAGCCTGGCCCACCTAGGGCTTCGGGCGAGCTTCGAGCCGCCCAATAGGCCGCTGACCATTTTTACACCCCTATGTACATCTTAAAAGATTGACAAATATTCAAAAATTGTTAATTTTAAAATTCAACTGGAGTGGAAGAACAAAATCGAAATTAAAGTTAAAGTGTAAAAATCGAATTATTTAAATTAAAACAATAAAGATTAAAGTGAAATTTGAATCAAATTAAAACATTTAAAATTTAAAATTGTAATTTACCCTTACACAATTTTCAAAGTTAAAATAACTAAAAATGATTCAGATGGCATACATTTTTCTGTCTCAACACACCATTTATATTAATTTTTCACACTTTAACATTATGAAGAGAAGAAATTAATATAATTATGTTCTAAAGTTGTGTTAGAGAATCAGGAAACCATTAGCACACAATAATACGGGCTCAATCCAATAGGAGGAGAAACTTTAGAGTCCACAAATATCATATCAAAATTTATCATATATTAATTAAAACTCATACACATTTAAAAATTTAAGCCACTAAATGGAGAACTTATAATATATATTAAAACTGATCTTCTTCTACTCTTTATCCCATTTATGACTGTATCTTGACAGATGCTCCAACAAGGTGGAGGGTCATTGGCATAATTTACTCGAATTTTAAAATGAGTTCCAAAACAGCTAATGAAGATAAATGCTGACAGAATAAACATCAGTATAATCACCATTTGCACGTCACGTGACAAATGAGAATCTTCATGGCACACGTGGCGATGATTAGAATTTGAGGCATGTACACACAAATTTTAATTTCGGAAGTGCTACATACCTCCAGTGAGCCGACCCTCACTGACAATCTCTAGTGAGGTGTCGGCTCTCCATTGACTGAAAATCAAAAAAAAAAATAGTTTTTATCCTCCAATTAGAGAGGACCCCAGTATCGCCACTGAGAGCTCAACGCATTTTCCTTTTAATTTATAATGTTGTTTGGAGTGTCCTAAATAAATATATTTTTTGATTTTTTGAATTAAAAAATTGAGGAAAAAAGATGTTTATTTGGGTTAACTTTTTGACTTTTTATGAAAAAATATATATTAAAAAATTGTATAAAATTAGTGTGTTAGGAGTGTGAGTTGTATAGCCGTATTATCTGCACAGTTGAATTGATGCTAAGAATTGATTAGCTACTTTTCGGGCATTGTACTGGACAGTATTGTAAGGCCCGTGGGGGCTACACGGGTCCCATTTTGATAATCTGAACCGTCAATGTGTAGAACTCATCGAGTACTATATGCCTGTAAAAAATCACATTGCTCAAATATCGATAGCTATTTGATCAGATTAGTTTTTTTTCAACTGTTAACTATAACACCATCCTTTTTTTTATACAAAACTGATTTGATCATATAGTTGGCGATATCCGATCAATGTGAGTTTTCACAGACATATAGTACTCGACGAGTTCTACACATTGAACGGTTCAGATTATCAAAACGGGACCCGTGATGGGTCCCATGGGCCGAACAGCAGTGTGTTAAAATTACACCCCAACTGTACAATTTTTCTTAAGAAAAGACCACAGATCTGAACTGGTCAGATCTGTCTTGTAATTTTGTATGTAAAATTAATTTTTTAATA